CTGGATAGTTCTGTACTGTGTCTTGGTTTTCTACTGGAAACTTTACCTTCAAAGCAGGTATATATATTTAAAATTAAAAGGTATATATTTAAAATTATATATAGGTATATATTTAAAATTAAAAAACAGCTGTGCAGTACATGTAGAATATTCTTATATCACTGTTTAAGGGGAAAATCTAGAATATCATTCTAAGGACAAAAACAATCATTTTGCTAGTTTTTACATATGCCTTTTTTACCCCAATAAAATTGGCAAGACCTTGGTCTTTTGTAGAATAATAATGCAATGGCAGCCATTTTCTCTCTCTTAAAATATCCTTTATAGCACGGTAGAAAGGCTAAAAATTATTTATTAATTCACTGGATATGTTTTCATGCAAGTTTGCTGGAACTTTAAAATAAGCACTTTAAGAGCCTGGTGCAGTTAAACAGTATAGAATTTAAACACAACAGTAGCATTACCATGCTGCCTCTTCTCTTTCCAAGCAGCTTCACTCATTTACTTTTTTTTTTTTTAATGCAAAAATCCCATGGAACTACTTACCTAGCAATAATTCAGAAGAAAACTAAACACAGATGCAAACCTAGAGAAATTGAAGATATTTCACTATTTCCATGCAGATATAGAAATTTGTTGCAACATTAAATTTAAAGCCAAATCTTATCAAATTCCCATGACTGGGACCCTATTTAAGAGGAAATAAGATGATGCACTGCTCCACTGGCTAGCGTATCAGCCAGGACACACTGACAGAGAATCATTAGTTGAGATTCCTTACCAATAGAAAACTCTTAGTAGACAGCAGATCGCCAGGTTACTGAACTGCCTTAACCAATAACTAACTTTGAGGTTAGTTTCTCTGTGGTTTTTGAAGCTGCTTTGGCAGAAGACTCTTTACATAGGGCAGTCCTTCTGGATCACAGTATCAGCTTGATAATGAAGTACACAAGAGTGTGGGAAAATGAAAGGAAAAGGATAAAGGGGAATCCTAACTTTATTTGAACGTATTGGCACAACATTAAAAACCTAGTTCATATTCACCAGAACCAGAAATTTTCAAGTCAATGCTAACAATTATTCATTTGTTTCTGTTTATTAGCTGCAGGCATCTTAGTTCAGGTTGTATCTCAGTAAGATTGTAATTACTACAATAAATAATGCATGCTTCATTTTGATTCCTTCCATGTACCAGTTAAGTCATTTATTCTGGCATCCAAACGAAGCCCATGAAGCATTCAGAAAGCCCAGCTAGCAGTTTGGCCTGGCAGAAAGGACAGATCCAGATTCAGTGAATGCATCTTTGTGAGCACTGATGGAGTAATGCCCCAACCAAAATCAGTCTACAGAACACTGCATTTCCACAAGAAGAAAGCAATGGAAATAACAAAAAGTGATTGTTTTTAATACTTACTATTAATGATTTGCAGTTGAAATGGAACACGTTTCTTCAGTTACAACACTGTGAACTGCAAAGAGCTATCAGCACAGAGATGCTGAAACTAGAGTTCAGAAGCAGAAACATCCAAAACCCAAGCTTTAAATTACTTAGTGTTGGTATAGAGGTTTTAATATGCTTCTTGCCATAAATTGTTTTGAGCTGTAAACTGTATCTGAAATCAAGATCCAGGGCTAGGCCTTTTCCATGTTTTGTTGTTGCTAGTTTAGTATTTGGTGTTTTGTGCTTTTTTTGTTGTTGTTGTTTTGGTTTGGTTTGTTATTTTTTTTGTTTGTTTTGTTTTTGGGGGGTTAGTTTTTAAGTCTGGTAATTGGAACTGTAACACCACTGAGCAGTTGCTGATGTCCCTACGAGTTGTTGTCTATGTTATTTAACAGTCCAAAATACAGCTTATAGGTCTTTGGACTTCGGTGTATCTAACACAGTTTTTTTTATTGAGTTTCCTATGCTTATTTTCAGTGTGCCTTCCAAGTAAGTTGGTGAGACTATGTACTTAAAATTCCCTGGTAATTCTTACAACTTAACATATGGTCTGATCTACTTATCTTGTTTGTAGATGTCCTGACCTTTAATGTTTTATATATTCTCTTTTTAATTATCATAAATGTCTCCTAAACAGCACCTGACATCTGTTCTTCACAGCTTTTTTGTCCTCCTGTGCTGACTTTACGTATTCAGTATTAAAAAAAATCCTTTAAATATTAAAATACCATATGAAATTTCTCAATATACAGGAGGCAGTTGAGATTGTTTGATTTTTTTTTGTTAGTTTTTAATCTCAGAAGAGCTGATTGTACTTTTCAGCCACAAAAAAAAAAAAGCCAAAATTGTTATCAGCTCGTCTAATGCAAAATGAAGTTACAGTGGACAGTCAATAACTAGATGCTGATGCATAATTTTGTATGTCCAGTACTTATAAGTCTTTCCATTTCATTTTCAAGTAACTTTTTGTATCTCACCACCTCCTCTAAAAGCCTGACTTCATCAGCTTAATGTATTTTTCTGCAGTAGGTTTACCTGGTCTAGCTACTGGAGTATAAGATTCTGGAGCAAACTGGAACTACTATTATTATCTTTGTTATTTTACAGATTCTAAATGTCTATTAAATGTCTATTAATTTGAATATTCCTTCTTCTCCTGTAGGGTTTGAATTCAACAAATAAGGACTACTTAATCTCAGAATAACATTCCTCAAGCTACTCTAGTTAGTAGTGGTACAAAATCCTCTAGGATTCATGTCACGTGTGGCAATGTTCAGTTTACTTTCTGATGCTCACCTTAGATTTAACCTGGTTAGAGGGAATCTCCGGGCTAAGTTTCTGGGCTTTTGAGAACCTACTTTAGAGGGTGTGACAGTGAGAGGGAGACCAAGACACCCTTCACACACACCCTCTCTTTGCTTGAAGGGTATGACTGCAAAGAGAAGCGATCTTGATGAACAGACTGCCAAAGCAAGCAGCAGGGATTTTTTGTTTGTGTCCCCTCCCCCCACCCCTTTTTTTTTTAAATCATAAGGGCAATGTAAAATGACATTTCTTAAGCAAGAATTTAAGCAAGAATTTAAGACTGCATCACTATTTTATTTTTTTTGGTTGTTTGGTCATGAAGGAAACACTGTGGACTGTATTCTGTTCTCATGTTGGTAGACATAGAGAGCAGTTGCAATATAATGTGGTGTGGCAGACCTCTGGAAAAGGAGGACCAAATCCTGTTTGCACATACAAGACAGACATCCTTTTCTCTGTTTAAAGAACTTAGTCCTTCCAGCAGACCTATCACAAAGCCCTTATTTCATCATGAATCAGTGCACATTCAGGATGCAAAAACAGGCTCAGAAATGCATGGCACATTGCTGATAAGTAAAAGGAGAAAAGAAAAGGTCAAGTCTTTGAAGCAAATCAGCTAATTCGACAAATAAAAAGCCTGGTTAGGGAACAATGCAGAACTTGATGAATACCCGGGGAACTGCTTCTCAGAATCAACAGGTGCTAGATAACCCATCAAACAGTATCCGCTTTTTTTTTCCCCCCAATAATTTGCCGGTAGGAACAAGTGAGGTGATGTTTTCCTTTCTATTTATCTGGTTCTCCGGTGTCAGAGTGGTATGGTTAGTACCTGGGAGACATGTCATTTGAAATGCAAAGCCAGCTGAAACTGTAAGAGAGGCAGGCGGAAGATGCCTTCCAAAGGATGAAAAAGGCGTGCTATGTATCTGGCCATTTCACTGTGTAAATAACTTACTTCCACCAAAAATAACAGTAACCAGTTTCGTTGGCAAATATCCCTATCCATTTATACAGGATATTTAAACATGTCTTTCCATTATCAAGTGTAAACACATCTCTGGAAACTGTATTGCCTCTGTGTCACTTCATTACAGTACTTAAGCATATCATAAGAATGGCTTTGACTAATGCCATTAATTTCCCTCTTCTGTTCTCACAGCTTGCAGCTTTTCTCCATACTTCTGCATACTTTTAAGGACTCTGAAATCTAGAACAGGAGTAGAAAAGGAGGGATACATTTCATACAGGCAGTGTCAGATATTTTCTTTTAACTTCAACCCTAGCCACAGACTTAGGGTAAGAAACATTTACAGATTTTAAGAAAAGTTATTCAGCTATTCCTGAAAATTCAGTACCGATCTCAAACAAACTTTGCAGTAAGAGCCTAGTCAAAACCCTCAAAAGGGAGAAGAGGGAGACAGATAGAACTTTAACCTCAAATACTTAACCTGATACTTGGGCAGGAGACTGGGCTGCTATTTCTGGTGTATTAAAGAGCAGTCAGTGGAACATTTTGATATCCAAATTTGGTTTGTCAATGTTGAACTTGTGTTTAGCCAAATGAACAACTAGTGCCTTGGATCTCATTATTGCATGTCTGGACACTGTGTAAATCAGAAGGGATAGTTCAGTTATACTAGGAGGAGCCTTGCTTTTAATATTATTGTTTATACAATACTTAACATTGCTCATGAATACTACAAGCAGAGTAATTGTAAGCACAAAATACAGACAGTTCAAAAATAAAACTGAAAACTCCTGGAGAAAATATGTTCTCCAACTTATTTTTTGTGTTTTGAACTATATTTGTAACACAGCTACAGAGAAAGTTTTTGGTGTTGTTGTGTTTTTTTTGTTTGTTTGTTTATTTTTAATACATAGAATACATTGTGATACACCTAATAGTAAAAAGAGCATTCAATTCAGCTTGAATCTAATTTGACCTAAAATACTACACATTGAGATAAAGACGTTTTCAAGCTGAAGGGAGAGAGAGCATTTCAAGGTGTGTATAAGGATGTTTGCACAGCTCCAAAATCATCTAAAAAGTGAAACATTTTTGTACGGCTCTTTTTTAAAGTTCAGCTTTTTAAAATATCCTCAAACAGTTAACACTCTGCTTTCTATGCATACTGTAAATAAACAATGCTAGGCTAGTCCATGTGAAAGCAATGTGAGTACCACCCAATGCAGCTTTTCTGAAGTAAATGTCAAAGTATTTAATAGGTGTATGTAATACTGGAACAGAACTCACCATGGACAAGGAAGAGAAGTATTTATCATGTTTCAGATGACTGTAGATCATCCAACCTGTAGCCCATCATACCACGCACTGCTGAAAGATTTTGCCATAACCACCAAGATCTAAAAAAAAAAAAACAAACAAACAAACAAACAAAAAAAACAAAACACAAAATCATAACAATGAAATAGTGAAAACAGTGTTCCTTATTTAAAATAAAATTCTCCATTTCACTGCTTTTTAAAACATACTTTTAAAGACAGAAAAGGTCTGCTGCACACCATCATGATCCAGCAATAGCTTCTCTTGCTCAGATATTTCATCCGCAGTACTTTTGAAGGTTTTTCAGCTTTCAGACTTTTCAAGATTCAGATTATTTATTCATTGTTGTTTTATGATAATGGTTTTATGCATTTTTACTCAAATCAATGGTTGCGAGAGCTAACTACTTTATTTTCCTTTTTGTGTTTTTAAGCAGGAATTTGCATTGCCGAACTGCACCAAAGCACAAACTGCACACACACAAATTAACTAAGTGTAGGGAAGAGCAGAGCAGCAGCTGGGTTGCCTGACTGGGGCTGGCACACGTGCTGACAGGAGGCTGACGATGCCCACACTTCGCCTAACATTCAGCACGCTGCTGAACTTGGGTAACGAGCACACACCAAGCAAGGAGCACTCATATTCTATCAACAGCAACATTGTGTTCATCCCAATTCTGTTTCACTACACGTGAATGCCAGAGCAATGTAAGCTCATTGGAGGATCTGATCTGGAGCTGTATTTTTCAGTCCAGCTGATGTGCTGTAAAGCAGGAGAGGTGGGCTCTAAGCCAAGTGGCTGTACAGCTGAGATACAGCTGATGGGGTTCAATGAATAACATGTGATGCCGGCACAATCCCGCTTTTCCAAAAAAAAAAAATCCTTAGTAGAGTGGCTTGAAAAATACCTTTAAAGAACCCTTCTTCCATGCTGCACCAAAGGAGGTGCAGCAGAAACAGTAACCCAGAAATTTGACAAATTCGGGATTTTTTTCACTCACAGTCAAAAACACATGAAAGAGGTTTCACGTTTTGAAGCATCCCATTTAATTATTTTCAGATTTCAGGATTTTCTCTCCAAAGAGGCTTTTTATTTCAGTTGTATTTTATTTCAAAACTAAGGTTAAAATAAAGTCAAGACTAAAGTGAGTGTGTGATCAGAACACTGTGGTTGGTCTTTCACAGAACATTTTGAAAACAGGGGGTCCAAAATACACTTTTAATCAGATACAGAATGAGATTTCAAAAACTCTTTCAAGTGGGGTTTTATGTTTTCCATGGAACTGTGCAGATCTTTAAAACTATCAAATTGATTTTCTTTTCACCTTTAAAGGGAAAAGCTTAAGTAAAATGAGTGTAATTTTCTGACTATTTTCCACAGATTGTTTCCGTCTGCATCAACTACATCTTCCTTTTGCCCCCTACAACTAAACTCTGTTAATAGCTGGAGGGCAGCTGCATGACCCCTCCAAACACTTCACCCTTCTGGGCTGCTTTTCTTCTCTTGAAACCTGTTTAGAAACTTGGAATTACAGGCTCTTCCAAGCCATACAGAAATTTATGAAAATTGAATGGGTAGAAAATGTCACCACACAGATTTACTACAACCAAGTCTTCTTACCCAGATTTATTTTACAATGGAAATAAATTTTTAATTGACATTAACATGAGAATATTTTATCACCATGGAGACTTCTGTGAAAATCAAAACAAGCACGCTTAGGAAGACATTACAGTCCCATCCAATCATTGTTGATATGCATATTCTTCTAAATAAATACTTTCCCGCATTCATTTTCTATGGCTCTTTCAAAGGATAAAACTCCGTATCTTCAACCACGGCCAGGCTTTCTACAGACTCTCTACAACTTTAAGCAGATCCTTCACCAGGCTATTTACAGAGCTCATGCTTCTTGTGTCCCCGCTGTCTTTTCAGCACAAGGGACTGGGAATTGGGGAATGTTTTATTCCCTGAGCAAGACCTGCCTCCCCACCCATTCACTGGCTACAAAACCAGCAGCGCTGGTATGAGGGAGAGGTAGTGTGTGGGCAGGCAGGCGCAGAGGAAAGGCTTAGCCTGGCTCTGCGTCTACCCAAACACGCTCATGCCCTTGTTTTGAGAAATATTGCACCTCCAAAGACAGCATTTCTATGTGTACAAGGGTATTTTAACACAGTGTTGCAAGTTCACAGCTTTGTTATAACATGCCAACGTACTACACAGAAGAAAGCTCTAAGTTTTACAGCTAAGTAAAGGCAATTAAATTCAAATAAAATGTGGAACATTTGACACAGTCAGTTGGGGTCTTTCTTTTCACCGTTTCCAACTCTGAACTTCTGAAAGGGCACCAGCCTGGCCTTGCCAATACAAAGAGGTGAGCAATGGGGTAATCAGATTTTCCCCTCACATGCAACCTTCTTGGACAGGATTAGACATCAGGTGATTAAAGTACCAAAACAAACAACAACAAAAATATTTTATTTTTTTTTTAAAAGCACTGCAAGAAGACATCTGTCCTCTCTTTTCTTTCCTTTAAATGATAAAGCATTCATGCAACAACTCCAAAAGTCTTTTTTGCTCTGCTCTCCACCAGAGCAGCATCTTCCCCCAAGTTTTCACAAACTTCACGTTTTCACAATGTGAGGAGCTGTAGGACACAGAAAGCAGACTGCAAAACGAACAGGGTCCAGCCAGACAACGACAGTCCCATTATCTTCCTGAATAATTGCACCTTCTTTAATAATTACACCATTGTGACTTGTCATAAGCGCATGGCTGTACTTCGATGGGGTAGTAATGTTCATGTGATCAGTCCCTGCATCTCAAATATGACAGAGCTAACTCACTGCTATGAAGTGCAAAGTCACTAAAACATTTTAACAGAGGCCCCTAAGCATCATTTAATCATATTATTGAGGCCTTTGTCATGCAGGTGGGAAGATTTGCAGGGCTAGATGAACAAGCTGCTCTTATGGATGCTTTAGTGACCAACTTAAAACTAAAAATGGTGTTTATACAGTCTGCTGACTGCCTTTATCCTTCAAGAAGACATTTACAAAACTGAAATGATGGAAGTTTTGACATTCCTCTGTTATTCTGACTGTCATAAAATTAAATAGCGTAAAAGGACTTTCATGATTTCATATACCGTAAGAATACGAAAGAAAGGATGCTCATCAAGGATGAGCACCATTATTTGGACGCGCATGAACAAATAAGGTAGTATTCTCAGTACAGAGGCTTTCTAAAGATGCTACTAAACATTAAAGTTACTAAACTCTGAGACTACTTCACTGCAGTAACTTATTTAGTTTTACAACAATAATAGTATTTTAAGCAGGTGTTTTGTTGTTGTTTTTTTGTTTTTAAGAAAAAAGGGAACTAAACCCCCAAACATCCGAAATGCCAGCAATTACAAATCTGCTCGCTGTAGCCAGTCATGGCCTGCTGCCAGCCAGCACATAGATGGCACAGCGAGGGTCTACTTGCATCTTCCCCAATAGCCGCACAGCACCTGGTTGCACCTCTGGGTGCACACAGCCACGGGGGAAGAGCACACTCCCTGCGCACTGGCACCATGCAGTCAGCCCCATGGCTGGAGCAGGGGCTGGTACCAGCCCCTCCAACAGGACAGGCAGCATGCTCCAGTTTTAAGGGCAGAGAAATGCAAAAAGATAGTCTCCAAGTCTGGGGTCAAAAATTTTAAGCTTGGTTTCACTTGGGCCACTTTTACAGCATGCCTATGCCTTGCTGCTGTCTCTGAAAAAACACTTCTAGAAAAGGGTAATTTCTTCACTGTCTTATGCAGCCATGTAAGCATCCAGATGGAACATGAATTAGCAATTGATTTCATTAATTAGAAAAGTTGCTTCGAATGACACAATCATTATTGACAGAAGTAGTTTGCAAGGTTTCTCTATCAAAATCTGTGCCGCCATTTCACTAAGGGTAAGCCTTTTTCTAGCAAGCAACCTGCACTGAAGCCACGGGTTTAGTGTGTGTATTTCACAACCTTTGCAAGACTAATCTTGAAGAGCTAATTGCAAATGCTCAGATGACACTGATAACATTCAGAGGCCCTCCTGCTCTTTCCACCCAGGCCATGCATACCTGCTCCCTTGCTGCTCACCTCCAAGAGCAGATCACCCGTGCAGCCTGTTGTGCTGTGGCAGCTTCATGAGCTCAGCATGCATCCCTCCAAAATACACACTTGCCTGTAACATACATCAATTTTCACTCATCAGAATGCATCACAGAGGAGATCATTTTATGTAAATGTAACTCTACGTCGAAGCATACTAGTTGATGCCCTTTCTTTCTTTTCTAAATTGAACCATGGTTGTTGCCTGGTAGAGTGTTAACAAAAAGAAAGCACAAAAACCCAACAGCCTTGTCAGCTCCATGCTGTGCTAAGCAGAACACACTGCGTAAATGTGTATGACTGCTAAGGAGCTTTTATGATAAACACTCAACACACAGCTCATTTTAAATCACTGACGATATTCAAACTGATCGCTATGTATATGATTGTCCTTATCTGCGTGAAAATCTCTCATTGCGTTTTGTTATGCCACGATCTGCATTGATGGCATGTTAAATGCCAATTGATTACTATAAGACACTGAAGACTAACAATATATTAATTGTGTACAGCAGGAAGAGAAACTGGATTTGTCCCCTTATAATGAACAAAACTGGATCATATCCAGATGACTGCACATTTTGGCCCCTGGCAACTCTCGTAACTGTTGTTTTAATCAAACTTTGTTTTATGTTATGAATATGCAATGATTTAGATCCGTGGAGTAGCCTGTTATTGCTTGAAACCCTCAAGTTTGTTTTAACAGTGAGACCTTATAACCACAATGCCTAATGAGCGCTGATAAAGTGCTTTTTAGTCCTTATACAAACTCTATTAGCCACTGACCTATTTTCAAAGTGTAACCAATCCAGCTCACTCTTCCAACAACAAATCTGCTCCTCAGAGGCCAAGGAATATGATTTTCCATTAAAAAGCTATTTTCCAAAAAGAATAAATGTCCAAAAATGTAATTAAGCTGTAACTAGGAGCACAGTTAATTAAAAGTGCATCTGGCAGCATGCATCGTTCAAAAAATCTCAGTTTTCAAAGATTTGGTTGATAATAACTTTTCAAACAATAGATTTTCGATTCAATCTCAGGAAGGAAGGCCCACACACCTGGGATCTCTGGACAGTAAGCAATGTTTGTAGCAGAGAAAATGAGACCGTGAAGCAGAAGTTAACATTTCCCTTACATCCTTTATTGCTTTTTTTCCACAGTGATCACCTACCTTACCACATCCTCATTCAGTGACTGCAATGAATTTAAGTCTATCTGCCTCAATGCTTCAATACCATGACATATATAACATTATAAAACATTTTAATTTATTTCTAAATAAGAATGAATTACCGGTGAACAGAATCAATATGGTTTGAAATATAGGCAGGATTGTACACCAGAGGCACTAGTGGTATCTATTTCTGCTGAGTATTTATTACAGTATTTGGATGGACATTTTGTTCTTAACTTCCCATTCAAACCATGGCTCGCATCTGCATTTAGGCTATTCACTTCACACCTGCGTGAAGCCTCACAATGCTATGCTGGGATTTGCCTGTGTGGCTTTTAAGCTGTTTGTGGGAAAAATACCTGTTAAGCTGCTGCAAGGGCACAGAACAGCAGAGTCAACGTGTCAGTTCATATCAGCAGATGCTGAATATCATCTCTTACATGCACATGCATGGGAATAAACTATGCTTTTACTATCATGAGTAGCATTTTAAAAAGCTGTGCGATTTTAAAAAGTCTTTCCTCCTAAATCAACCCATGAACTTCCCTTGTCACTCGCTCTCTTCCATTAGCAGGACATCAGGCAAAGAAATAGGGCTAATGTATTTCCTGTGAAAGAGCTCTGTTCTGAGCAAATATGTAATGAAAATGTGACATTCGTTCTCCAGTGCTGCCGTGCACATCCTCTCTGTGACCTACAGATGCTGCAAGACTGACTTTCACAGCAGTATTCAGCCTCTAGCTAAGCTCTTGCTGATGGAGGTCAAGAACAGCTGTGTTCTGTCCCTGTCAACTACCTATTTCATTTTTTTATGCTAAAGGAGCGGTTTTAGATTTATTTTCCACCTGGCAGAAAATGGTTATTTTGGCACCACCCCCCTGAATATTTTTAATACATCAGCAGCAGAAAGGAGATAAAGGAGATGCCACCTGTCAAGGACTCCACTTTTCAGCACACTGAAATTCTGTGAACAGCCCTGAAACTGCTTTGCAAATCAAGCAGTCGTATCTTCATCTTCTGTGAACCAAGTAATATTTGGGGGAACTACAGAAGCTCCTGTGCAGCCTGTAGTGCTACACCATAGTTAAAACCAAACCCAATATTTTCCATACTGTTGTTTCCTCACCTTTTGTCTGTGTGAGGTAGGAATGCTTTGAAGCAAGAGAGTAAGGAGCTAAGTCAGAACTGATGGTTTGAACAGATATTTTATCAGCCAGCAATAACAGTTCATTAAGAAACAAGACTGAAGGGACTCCTTATCCAGGAATGAAGCCTTACCCAGCACTGACCACAGATGAAGTCTGAGAGCAGAACACAGCTCCTCTGGTCAGCTCATGTGGAGAGAGCAGAAATGTGGTTGTGCTCAGCATGTGCCCGCAGAACAGTTACTAAACCCTTAATGAATTGGTGATAATTAACAATAAACCTCTAAATATGACAGCCATGTCATCACTTGTGGAAAAAAAAATAAAATAAAGCTTGAAATATCACCTACAGTGTGTCGTAATAAAACCTGCCTGGGAGAAATAAGGTTGGAACAGCTTCATGGCACCTCCTTGTCCTCAACATTTGTCAACAGCAGCCATGTGGGCTGGGACTCAGCAGTGAGGGGGTGGTTCAGGGTCTGTTTTTACCATCCTCAGAAGGGTCATTCCTCCTCCCCGCTGGTACAGAGCACGCTGGACACCACTGCACACACCTAGCTGGGATTACAAACTAATGAAAACGGCTCTGGTTTCTTGGGAGCAAAGACAGAATTTTAAGAGGTGGGGGAAGGAAATGAGCAACTATAGAGCCTTCAGATTACAAGATAAAGTAATTTAAAGGTAATTTAAGCAGACAATAACCAACCAATTTGCAGTGCACACACTGATGTTAGTGTCAACCTTATCGATAAAAGTGTTGCACTCATGGCCTTCATGCTAGTTGCATCAGTGGTTTTCACCTGGTAACTACTGATGTAACATTTGCCTAATGTTCATTATGATTTCCCTCATCATGATGCACACAGTTGCTCGGAAGGCCTTAGGTCCGGTGCCTTGTATCTTGTACAGTGTTTTCTACTGATGGATGCAGGTATGAAATGTTGAATCTCCCTCAAAAATACAGTAAGAAAAAATTAAAAAAAAAAAATAGAAGCACTTCAGAATGGAAAGGAACTTCATATCTGTACATTCTAAACTGAAGAAAACTCTTCAGTGAGCAGAGAAGCCCATTATTGCAAAGTCAGAAAGATTTTGCAGATATGGAGATTTGAGAATTACTGGTAAGAAACTTCCCTGGTAATTTTCTTTCAGAGACACATGGGGAAGTCAAATATGTTCCCAAAACTTCGTGTCCTGCTCTGCAGCCTAGCCATAAATCAGTACTGAGCCCTCAACTCAGAGTCGGTGCTCCTTTTTTATTAAATCATGCTACCAGCTGAAACACAGCCAGCATCAGCGTGCTTACAACAGCACAGTCGGGCATCAGTCAAAAACCCTCAGGGACTTTACAGTTAGAGGTTAAAGCCAGAAACATACGTGCACTTCTAAAAAGGGTGCAGCAGAGAGCACTGGAGAAAAAATAATGATGTTTTATAACCCAGCTGGGAGGAAGTTGAAAAGCAGTGGTACTGCACCTCCCCTACCTTGTACTTGGCAAGGATGAGTTACCGAACACTGTAAGTGTTGTTTTCGCATTAAGCTTGCTAGCAATGCTCTCTCAGTTAAGGGGCCACCTGTTCGGAGCGGCAGGCTTGGGACAAGGGAAGGCCAGAAACTCAAAGTGGAGAATACAGGAACTAGGATGAGGACTGACTCTGCCTCTTAGGGAAAGGAACCAATGGGCTCTTTTGCCAGAGCATTTTCACTGAGGGACCAAAGGACAGTGGAGATGGCAGAGACACAGCCAGCAAATTTTCTTCTTACCACTAGAAGAAATGTATTGGAAAGTAGCCTTCTGAAAGTAGAAGGGAAGTCACAAGAGATGGGAACAAAGAAGAGTTAGTAAGTTTTAACACATTTATTTTTCTGTGAAAATACAGGATAGCAAAATAGCCAAGGAACAAGTAATTTTGCTAGAATGCATAAAATGTAGGAAATTCAAATGGCTCTGAGCTAACTGAATATCCATCAGTTCACAGTCTACGTAACTCTCTAAATTGCTGAGCAAATTAGTTCAGCAGATGTCTTCTGTTATTAAGGCATAAGTACACATTGTACAAACCCCAGAGAGTCAAATTATATTACTGATTTTATAGGGGGTGATAAAACCCAATTTTTAAAACCTATTCTGTTTTAGTATAATCCTTATTGTAACTTAACCCCAGGCAATGACAGCAAAAAAAAGCCAGCAATGCTTTCCCTCACAACTGACGCAGTTTCCCTGACCAAGATGTTGGTAGCCAAATGTGACTGCTCCTCTTCTACATCACTCTTCCTCTGTGTGTCTAGGAAGACACAAAGCTATTACAGTGTCTAGGAAGGTCCTTTTGCGGGAAATAAGAAGAGATGGGCAGTATTTTTTCTGCTAATTAGATATAAACAAATAAGATAAAGAATTCTGATACTACAGGATGTACCGTACTTTGCTATGTGGTAGATTTATTAGTAATAATTATGAGAATAAGTTACAACCAAAAATCATTAAAGTAAGATTAAAGGCTTACACTAAAACTATAAAAGCTATGACCTAAGGAGTAACCTTCAAATATTAAAAATGCTTCCAAAAAACAAGGACAAACGTGCTATGTATGGAGGAATAATCAAACCATAAACTTTAGGTAGATGTCTGAATAACCATACTAGAATAGAATTAGAAATACAAATGGAAGAGTACCCATAGTTTTTAGTACTTGACAGACTTTAGAGGAATACTTTCCTTTGAAATTCCTCATCTCAATACCCGTTTCATCTATG